GATAAGGATTACATTGAGTCTGTAGACTGCTTTGGGTAGTGGTGACACTTTAACAATGTGAAGTCTTCCAATCAATGAACTTGTGATGTCTTTCCATTTATTTGTGTCTTTTTAAATTTTTTAAAAAGATTTTATTTATTTATTTGACAGAGAGAGAGTGTGAGAGCACAAGCAGGGAGAGCGGTTGGCAGAGGGAGAAGGAGAAGCAGGCTCCCCGGCTGAGCAGGGCAATGGAAGCGGGGCTCGATCCCAGGCCCCTGGGATCAAGACCTTGAGCCGAAGGCAGACACTTAACGACTGAGCCACCCAGGTGCTCCTGAATTTCACTCAGTAATATTTTTTAGCGTTCAGGGTGCAAGTCTTTTTTCTTAAAGATTTTATTTATTTATTTAGCCCCTGAGGGCAGTGGGGAGGGACAGAAGGGAGAGAGAGAATTCCAAGCTGACTCTGCACTGGGCGCAGAGCCCAACATGGGGCTTGATCTCACAACCCCGAGATCATGACCTGAGCTGAAGGCAGACGCCTAATGGACTGAGCCACCCAGTTGCCCCATCTGTTCTGTTTGAAAGGTGCTGTTCTGGGGCGCCTGGGTGGCTCAGTTGGTTAAGCAACTGCCTTCAGCTCAAATCATGATCCCAGGGTCTTGGATCGAGCCCCGCATCGGGCTCCTTGCTCAGTAGGAAGCCTGCTTCTCCCTCTCCCTCTACTTACTACTCCACCAGCTTATGCTCTCTCATTCTCTCTGTGAAATAAATAAAAATTCTAAAAAAAAAAAAAACCCAAAAAAGAAAGGTGCTGCTCTGTTTGAAAGGAAACACTGTCAGCCCGAGATCAAAGTTGAGTTCTGCATTATCAAAATCCCAACCAAAGTGGAATTCAGAAACAGTGCATCTCTGATATGGCAGCCACGCCAATGATAATTTCTTTTGTTTTCACTTATTTATTTTACCCTTACCACAGCCAGGTGCTGGAGATAGAAGCAATGATCTCAGCTCTCACTTGGCTAATGGGCATCTTATGGAGATAACTGATGGCCCAATAGAGTCAGGTCCTTAATCGCACCTATTGGAAGGCTCCCAGGCACCCGTGATTGCTCACCTTCTCTCTGCAGATTGCTGGGCCAAAGGGCAGGCTGCAGCTGCCATGGCTCAGTGCTGCCAAAAGGCCAGGCTCCTCTGGACAGAGGCCTATTCTGGTCTGAGCCTCCTGATGAATCAGAAGTAAAAACCAGGACAAGGCAGGCTGTCTGTTAGAATGAGGACTATGCAAGCCTGGCCACTTTCAAATGAAATGGATTCTGTGGAAGGATTTTTGTTTGTTTGTTTGTTTAGAAAACTAACACTTATTGTTAGATTGAAGGTGTAATACAGGTTTCTAAAAATGTGGCAGGGAGAATACCAGCATAAAAAATAAAAAGAAACTTGAGGGGTGCCTTGCTGGCTATCGGTAGAGCGTGCGACTCTTGGGGTTGTAACTTTGAGCCCCACATTGGGTGTAGAAATGACTTAAAAATAAAATCCTCAAGAAAAGAGGCGCCTGGGTGTTTCAGTCAGTTAGGCTTCTGCCTTCGGCTCAGGTCATGATCTCAGGGTCCTGGGATTGAGCCCTGCATCTGGCTCCCTGCTCAGTGGGGAGCCTGCTTCTCCCTCTCCCTCTGCTGCTCCCCCTGCTTGTGCTCATTTGCTCACACACTCTCTCTCAAATAAATAAATAAGATCTTAAAAAAAAAATCCTCGGGCGCCTGGGTGGCTCAGTTGGTTAAGCGACTGCCTTCGGCTCAGGTCATGATCCTGGAGTCCCGGGATCGAGTCC